GTATATTCAGTTGCCAATATCAGGTTTTAAAAATTAAGACTAAGTATGCACTATTACAAAGTTTAAGCAGACTGCACAATCATCATTCTAGCTGGTCAGTTTGTTATTTCAATGAACAAATGGGTCCCTGAGACTAAATCCTTGACCTGATAAACTGAGAAATGATTATCTTTTACCACCAGTATAGAGACAGGTCTGATCCTGCATTAGTTTGTGAAGTCAGACTAGGTTCTATACTTTTGGTTTACCAATTTCAAATTTTTCTTTTCTGATAACCCACAAATTTGATAATGAACAGTTCCAAAAATAGAAGGCGGACAAGTCCATTAAAGAAATTCAGCTGGTTTGTGGTTTTCAAATGGACAGTTCCAAATTTAAAGCAGGATAAGTAAAATTTAAAAATTCTGCAGCGTAATTTAGTTAAAGAAATATTTCTTTTATTCATATGGTGATAAAAATTAAAGTTACCAATTAATATCTTGTTTATCTCTTCAGGCATCTTTGTAATTAAGTTTTCTTTCATCATAAAATTCCCCACGATTTTGCTGGTGTTTATTATAACAGTAAGACATTGTCAATAATCTCAAAGCAATTGTTATAATTGTTCCAGCTTCAGATCTCAGATGTCTCATGACGATATCCCTTTATAATATGATCAGTTGTTTATTGTGCTTTAAACCTGTTTTTGATGTTCAAAGCTTGTTTTTTTAAATGATGCAATTAACAGAATCCATCCTTTTTCTATCAAAGTGAGATAGCTTTCAAAGACAGTTCATTTAAACTAAAAATTTTGAAGAGGCGGTAGCCATTTAATATTGAGAAGTTCAAGGGTGTGCTTTTTGCAATTGCAAAGGGATTTTACTGTTTTCCTTTAAATCTAGAGTTATCTCTGTTTTTTTTTTTAATATATATATATTTGTCGTGGGCTTTTAGAATCATTGATTATAATAATATTAGATAAACTGAGTATTGAATTCCACTTAAACTGATGTTGAACTTTCCATTATCTATCATAAGCAATGCGAGACTCAATAATAAACTGCCTGGTGACTACGCAAATTTTCAAATTTAGACTCTCGGATTACTCCCTTGTCTAGAATTTTAATTTAATACTGACTTTTTGAGCTTGCTTAATAGGCATTTTTCAATTTTTTGTATAGAAAAAAATATAAGCATGAAGTTGGAAGAAGCCTCTTCCTTATTTATATCATATGACATTCAGACTGAGCATCTGAGAGTGTTTTTATTTTGATGTCAGAAATTCTTAAATCTCTATTGTAATGCAGCCTTTATTTTACAGGGTTTTTTATTAATAGGGAAAGAAATTCAAATGTCTTCAATAAAAGCGGAATTCAGAGAAAATCTACAATAAAAATACATCTGAAAATTGAACTGAAAAATGCTTTTAGATAATTGTAGCATTACTATAAATAGCAAGCATATTAAAGATCTGTTAAATTTAAAGTATTTATTTAAAGAAATCTTCTTTTTTTAACTTGGAAAGATTTCAGTTAAATTACCAATGAGCTGTTTTTGGCCACCATTTTCTGTAAATTGATTAGTTGGTAATGAATGTCATTAAATAAGTTTAACAAATGCTGTGGTGTGTGGGGGGAAGAATGTATTTTATCTTATTTTTATCTTGTTTTTTATCTTGTTTTTTTCCTCACAGCAAAAAGCTATTCAATAGGAAAAACAGTGGCACAGTATAATGGAAGGCCATTTTATCTCAATTTCATCCTGTTTTCCCTCACAGCTTCCAAGTAATTCAAGATAAGAGCTTATTTTGTGAGTGGGAGATCCATAAATGCATTTAGTAAATCTGCCATCCAATCCCTTCATTAGGAGTTGAAAAGGTCAAACAGTCTGCATGATATTTCCAATCTTTGTTCCAATGTTTAATGAAGTCACTTTTGAAGCTTCTTGCTCGTACTGGTTTACAGATAGGAAAGAAACAATAATACCTAATAATAGAATTTGAAGCTAATTGTTGCCTGGGTCAGTAAGAAACTTAAATGAAGCATATAAAGCATCGGGCTGTGTGAAGTATACACCTTAATGTCAAATAAGTGCACTGAAAATTATTAAACCGCTGCAGAAGCCTTTTTGTATCATTACACTTGTTCTCTGTCTTATTGCAAAATTTCTAATGTTCATAATGTGAGGAATTTTATTGTCAACATGTAAAATAAAGTATACAGTCTGGTGAGATACTCCATTGATTTGCAGATGGTTAAGGTGACAAAATAGGTTTGAATAACTCAGAGTTTATGCAGCTCCAGCAGGTGAGGTAGTTTTGACCTCTGGTGTTGCTTTGAGAAGTTTGTAACACCCAGGATAAGCCAATGTAGTCCTCCTTCCAGTTTCACGGCCATATGATCCATACTGTGTTGGGTGCAATAAAGCCAAACAATCTGAACAAAACATAGAACCTTAATATTTTTACCAGTATTTGTATTGGAGTCCTGATCCAGCACTGAGAGTAAAACAGATTTTCTTTCCTTTTGTCATGCAGCCTTTAATTTTACTGTTTAAACTTAATTTATTAATATCTTATGAACTTGGTACATGTATGTATAATTTACCTTTAGTTGTGGTTTAAAGTCAATTGGGTCAAGGTCACAGGTTTAACCATTATTAGTCGCCGGTAGAAACCGGCGACTATATTTGTAACAGTTTAATATTACACCTACGGTAGGAGAAGCCCTTAAAATCTGAAAATAAAAACATATCAATCATTGAACAATTTAAGACAACAATTATTTTTCAGTAATCTCAAAAATTCAAACATATGATAACTTTGTTCAGTGAAATGAAATATACACATTTTGACATCTTAAAAAGCAACATTACAATTTTCATAAAATGAATCAATAACGTATCCCCAAGGATCAGTCATTGAATATTAGGGTTACTTTTACTTTTTTCTATGTGTCAAGCATTGCTATTTTATAATATATAAATCATGAATGATATTTGAAATGACACTTTAAAATTATTTGGTTGTTTATATTTTATGAGACCTAATATATTACATTATTTTATCTAATTTATAATAAACAAATTCTCCCTGGTCTTTCGTAAGAATCACGTGACTACATGTTTATATATGTTGTATATCGTTATAAAATCTATTAATAGTAACAGATTGCTGATAAGACATACAGGCAACTTGTTGATGGTTGGCAAAAGGTACGGTAGCTGATAAGGTTTTGAAAATTTATTTTTAATGTGTAAAATATGAGTAAACAGGTTTTTCTAATGATATAAAGTATGAAACTGGTTAATGAAAAATAATTTATGTAATTATCTGTACAAAATTACCATGATTTGCATCTTATCAGCTACCGCTTTAGCATCAAAATCTCTACTTGTGTTCAACTGCATTTGCATTTGAAAAAGTGGGAAAGATCATAATGAGGCCACCATGGTTAAAAGTCACACTTGCAGTCAATCATAGTGTTGTTTAATATTATGTCTATTGTCTGGATTAAAAATGGACAACAATAAAGACCTGTAAAACATAAAACAAGAATTCAACTTCGTTTAGAATACAATTTTGTTCTCAGTATATAACAAACAGTAGTAAATTTATGGAACACCTTTATAGTTAAACTTATGCTGATCCAGTTATTAGAAATTTCAGCAGATAATTGTTACACTATATTTATTACTTCACAAAATTTCAGTGAAGTTCAATCTAAAAAAGAACAGCTTAGTGTTGTATTGCAATGTGCTGCATTATTCGAAATGACAATTTCCATAAGAATAAATTGAGAGCATTCTATATGATGCTTTAAGCAATGAATATCCCATGTGATATTTGCTAGAATTTATAGTGAAAATCTCTAGAAATAAATGAAATCATTTGGGAATGGTTATGGAACAGAATATAAATGTCAACTTTTTTTCTCCCTTTAGAGGGGAATGGTGGAATTTACGTTAATTGAATATATTATATTTCCTGGCTGTGGCACTAAGCAGACAATTGCTCTATAATTTAGGAATCACTATTCTATACTTGTCTGGGAATCTGATTTTAATAGCCAAGACTTGAAATGTTAATATGTTTTTGTTACACTATCCTTTATTTCATCTGTAAAAAGGAAACATTGTTTAAGTGGTGTTTATCTGATACTGGAAAGTATACAATGATGAAAAATAATTCTGTCAACAATTAAATCAAATGACTGTGTTAATTGTGTCATAAAGCTGCTTTTTATTAATATGTAACAATATTTCACTGTCTGCCTAAATATGAAGCATTTCTACAGGTTTTCATAAGCCTTTATAACAGTATTGTTGTAAATTTAATCAAATATTGTTCAGAAATTATTTATTTAGTTTTGTACATCTTGTAAATTTTATTTCTGTTGATTATTATGCCTGAAAAGGCCCATAATTGGAAATCAAATTATTCTAAATTTATTCTACTGTATTCTATGATAAATCATGGCTATAAAACTTTTCCAGCATCTTCATATTGTAAATTAACTGTGATATTAAAACCTGAAAGGTTATATATATTTACAAAAATCAAGTAGGAGATTTCCTAGGAATGAAAGAAAATTAATAAACTGTCTGTTGTAGTTCTCAGATGGTGGTGTTTTAATGCCCTAAATGTTTTAATTTAAATGACGCCCAGGTTTTACAGTTTTTACTATGGTAAAACAACACGTTTTTGCTGTGACAAGTACATGTATATGTGACTTATTTCTTAGGTAGATTATTTCAAATTTATCATCATCATGATTTTCTTTTTTTGAAAAATTGCTTCATATTTATTTATTGAGCATAAGTTTTAATGCCCCCCCCCTCCCCTCTGTAATTTAGAGAGTGGTGGCATATAGATTTGCATCCATTAAAAGTAAATTGTCCTATCAGAAGACTGGCCAGTGTTGCTGAAAATTAAAGTAACAAAACAAAAAACAAAAAAATAAATAAATAAACCGGTAACATGATAACATTATGGTAACATATTTGTTTTTCTGTTTTTACAGTATATAAAGAATCACTTCCAGAACCTCAACTGGAATTTAGAAGAGGACACTTTTACAGACAATACACCATATGGAAGAAAACAATTCAACAATATAATAGTGACTTACGAACCTGAGGTTAAAAATAAACTTGTTTTATCATGTCACTACGAGTCGAAAAATATGACCGACAGCAGAGGGAATGGTTTCATTGCTGCAACAGATTCCGCCATACCGTGTACAATTTTGTTAGATATTGCTGCCAAATTAGACTGTGCTTTGCGACGGAAAAGAGAAAATAGAAAATTGGTAAGTTTGTTATATTTACATTCAGAAACGAATAATATAAAGTTATTTATGCCATTAAATATTAAGAAAATTAGTAATTAAAAGTTTCTTCAATCAAAATTTATGTATATTTAATATGGTACAACATGGAAAAAGTCCAAATCGTCCTGATGAATTAATCTGTGTAACTTATAATATTTCTATAAATAATATTATATCAATTCTTACCCCACTAATTATCTTAAATGGACTTGGCCATCTTTCAATCTTGATATAACCATTCAGCCTTTTTATGGAAATTTTCAAAATATATACTCACTAAATTGCAAACAGTGCAGACCATGATCTGATGGCACATATGTGCAGTCTGATTTTGGTTTGTACTGGTCAGATGGATAGATTCAGTGTTCACCAGAAGGCTGAGAGTTAAACTAATTTAAACATGATAATAATTATAAGATTATAAGTGTTTATGGTATTTAATCGCAATTCCAGTCTTTGTCAGAAGATGTAACGATACAAATGATGTTCTTTGATGGGGAGGAAGCATATAAAGATTGGACGGCGACAGATTCACTGTATGGTTCCCGGCACTTAGCACAGTGGCTGCGTAACACAGAGGATCCAAACTATCCGGGAACCAAAAGATTAGATAATATTGTAAGGAATTTTGTTTTAAAAATATTTTGGTTAAAAAAAAAAACCGATAAATTTCACTTTATTTAAAGATTAAGTTTTTAATGTGGTTTACATCAATGATTTTTGAGAAACATCTATGTACATGTAATGAGAGTTATTTACATAGCTAAATAGATTGTGATTGATCATTATATGTACAGGTTAACGGGAAATTATTCAAATATGCATTCCCATGGTGACCATTCATTGTTCTTTGATAATAGTTCTTTGACAGCATGTTAATAGTAACTGTTATCTGAATGCATACTGTAAGACATTGTATTTCACCAGGACAATCTACTTGTAGACTTATTTCTCTTTAATAGCTCACAGATCGATTTGCAGTAGTTTAATATGAATTAGATATTCCCCGAAGGTTTAGCAGATTGTTTCAATTATAAATAATTTGATAGAGTGATTTCAGGATTCAAATGACGTAGGTGCTCATATTGTTAAATATATTCTAGAAAGGGCAATCCTGTTCTGTCATTTATAATAGGAAAGATAACAAGACTTTGGTGCATTTTTACTGGCAACTTATTTAAACAGAAAATTTAAACTGAAAAAAATACTAACTGGTACATGACTGTATTTTCTACTTTTTTTCAGTCAAATTGAATTACACTTAATAATGAATGTGTTATGGGAAATTTGTTTGATCAATGAGGAAGTGGTAAAAATTCTTTTTATAGCTACTGTAAGGTTATAGATGTAACGCTGTTATGGTATGATGAATTTAATCAAATTAAAAACTTAAACTAGAGATGTGATGCACCTTTGAAATGTGTGTATACTGCAAACTGGTATGTAAATTAAAACCTGAACACCAGAAATAAGATTTTACTTTTAAGACATACAAGACCTTGTGAGCCTTTTTAATCTACATTTAACTTACTAAAATCAAAAGTTTGCAATATACAACCATTCAACTTAAATGTCGGAACTGACTATTAATTTTTTTACTTTCACTTAAAGGAACTCCACTTATTTTTTTACTTTGATCAACTTGGTCACTTAAATAAAAAATGAGAAAAAAATACTCCGAATTTTATAGAAAATTCTATTTTTGTGTGTTTCTTTGCTTGATTTGAGTCAAAAGCATTTTTGGGCTCTTTGTTACAATTAAAATAATTATTTGTAAAGCAAAGAGCTAGCAAATATGATCTGAAATTTTGCACACAAGTTATTTGTCCAAAACTAAATGAATTGTTCATAAATCATAAATCATGGCCTATTATGCCAACAAACCTGTTAACCATTGGCAGGTGTGATGCAACTTCACTAATTAATTTGCACCTAACTTTTTACAAAAGATGAAAAAAATGGCATTTGTACTTGGTTGCAGAGATTGTCTTTTAAGTGCAGGTTTGGTTGTGTACTTTTACCTCATTCTGGGAACTTTGAAATAATTGTGTTGAAAATTATTATAGACAATAAGCAGTATGGCATGGCTCTCAAAAAAAAAATATCAAAAGCACTTTTGGTTTTTGTCTTTTGCAGATATTCTTTATTGTTTCCAAACAGATTACATTACCCATAATTCTATTGTAAACTGATTGATAGTATGGAATATTGAATAAAGACAACACTGATACAGTAAATTATAGGAGTGCTGGCCATGAATAATTGATAAAGGAAGGCATTGGTTGGTGTTAAAACAAAATAAAACTTTCACACTGATATGTACAGATACAGTAGAGATTTATCCATGTGAAGAGTGAGGGTCATTCTAAAGGTCACAGGGGCTTACATGAAATAATTAATGAAAAGTTGCTTTTGAAGATATATCAGTTATTCACTTGTTTTATTCATGTAAAATGGTCACTAAGTATGCAGCCTTTGCAGGTAGTTTTTTTTTACAAGAGAATATTTACAGAAAAAATTTTCTAACAAATTATTATAGTTGTTATTATCCCCCGCCGAAAAGGCGGCGGGGGATATAGTAATAGTCTCCGTCCGTCCGTCCATCCATCCGACCTTTCGTCCGTCCTTCCATCCGACATTTTTGTCCGGAGCATATCTCTAAAAGTATTTGAGTTATCAACTTGAAACTTCATAGGTGGATAGACCTCATTGAGGAGGAGTGCAGTGCACAAGACTGATAACTCTACCCTGCATAATTTTTGAGTTATTGCCCTTTGTTATTTTTCAAAATTGATTTTTGTCCAGAGCATAACTCAAAAAGCCTATGAGATATCAACATGAAACTTCATAGGTGCATAGATCTCACTCAGGAGGTGTGCAGTGCACAAGAATGATAACTCTACCTTTCATAATTTTTGAGTTATTGCCCTTTGTTATTTTTCATACTTAATTTTTCACCTGAGTGGAGCATAACTCAAAAAGTGTTTGAGATATCAACATGAAATGTCATAGGTGGATAGATCTTATTGAGGAGGAATGCTGTGCACAAGAATGATAACTCTTCCCTATACAATTTTTGAGTTATTGTCCGGAGCTTATCTCAAAAAGTATTTGAGGGAGTTATTGCCCTTTGTTATTTTTCATACTTAATTTTTCAATTCAATTTTTTTCTCAAAAAGTATTTGAGGTATCAACTTGAAACTTCAAAGGTGGATAGATTTTACTGAGGAGGGATGCAGCACACAAGAATGATAACCTACCCTGCATTATTTTTCAGTTATTGCCCTTTGTTATTTTCAGCCATCAGTATTCACATAGGTTTCAAATCTGTAATCACTATAGCCATCAGTTTTCATTACCAAAAGACCTCTTAAAATGGAATTATTCTGCTCTACTACATATACATTCTTCCAATGAGCAAACACATTCGGCGGGGGATGGCCATGTTGACATGGCTCTTGTTCAATGTGGTAATAAAAATAATTTGCTACCAGTATAGAACTAGTCTGCTTCAGGGTCAGTGAGATTCATACATGTATGAAAGACTTTATACTGCCAAAGTTAAGTATTATTATAATTGTACACATCCTTTCAATCTAGACAAAACCATTATTCATTTATAGTGAAAACTTTAAAATAAAAAATACTGACTGAATAGCAAACAGTGCACAGCACAGAAGTGCCAGCTAATCCTGGTCTGCACTAATGGCATAGGTCAAAATTCAGTCACTGCCAGAAAAGCTTTGAGTTAAAATGAAATAAATATGAGTAAGTATTGATTCTTAACTTCAGAGAATTTTAAAATCTAAAAGCTCCTGTTAAAGTTACCAGTAAGCTGCCTACTTGACACTGCTTACATTAACAGTTGAATCTTGTGGGGATTTAACTATTAAAGTTTGAAATTACAACAATTTACAGACTTCAGCATTTTTCCATATGGGAATTAAGGATGATAGTTTTTCTATGATTTTAAATAAGGTCTGAATGTTCATTTTAAATTGTGAGAAGAGAAAAAAATTGTTGTACATGAACAGATTTGTATATGAAAATCAGTGTTTATTAATGAAATGTTGTTGCTCTATGACAGTTTTATGTTTAACACATAATTTATCAAATAAGGTTTTTTAATTAATCAACATAATTGATTAATAGCCTTTAGGATTTTTTTTTATTTAATCAGCATAATTGATTAATAGCTTATAGGGTTTTTATTTAATCAGCATAGCTGTTTTTTTATTTACTCAGCATAATTGATTAATAGCCTTTTTCAAACTTATCTTTATTTTAAAAAGCAACAAATTTTTGTCGGAGCCTGATGCAGAATACATTTCAGTGTTGCTATATTTTTCTTTGGGATCAGTGATAACCCAATACTTTTATTGTTGGAAATTGAATAGCTCTCACAGTGGCCAGTGCTAGGGGAAGCATGTTCACAGACATGTTGATTAATTCAAGTATAACCTTTACCTGTAAATGACCATAACTGCCGAAGTCAAAATTATTATGAAATTTAATTAAATTCTGTAAAAAAAACCAAAAAAACTCAAGATGTTCCTTTAAAAACCCTTCACTTCAATGTTCTTCCTTTGAAAATAACTCATTACATTACTTTATTGTTTAAAAGGAATTTAAAGATACTAGAATTATTATAGTTATTTAACAAAGTTATTTCTTTTAGCACATTGATATAAAATGTAATTTGTTATTGTCTATTTTCAGAGTCTTTTTGTATTGTTGGATTTAATTGGTACATCTGATGTAGTGTTCAAGAACTTTTTTTCAAAGACAGAGGCATATTTTAACTGGTTACAAAAAATAGGTAGGGATATATTTAAAAAAAAAAATCTCTTTTGAAAATAAAAGCCCCTAAACTAAAGTGTAGTATTAGGCTGTTCCAGTTCCAAACAGAAGTTCAGCAAGGGTTGGATTCAGCAAGGGAAGAGCTCAAATAAGCTGTCCAATAGTTGGAATAAATGAGATTTAATTTCCAAATACTTAAGTGGGAGTCATTCAGACTCCACTTAGGTTCATTTGTGTCATGTTTATGGTGATCATAAAGAAAATCAAATGAATTACAATGTAGAAGTACCTTCTTTTTATCACCTTTTTCAGTTTGTAAATATGAATTTATTTCTGAATTACAACATGTACTCTTTCCATTTTATTATTTAGACATAATGCTCCATACTATTACACTTTTCATTTTTTCTTTTTAGAGAAATCATTAAAGAAGTCAGGATTTTTAAATCCTAAAGGTTTAGCCGTACCAGGTACACAAGATAAGACTCTGTTCTCCAGTGCAAGACCTTGGGGTGGTATAGAAGATGATCATAAACCATTCTTACATGCAAGACCAGGTAATTATAATAAATGATTTACTTTATTTAAGCTCCATGTCTCCAGTTGAACATAATATTTCAACCAATCCAAGAAAAATCAACCTTGAGAAAAACATACTAAGATTTAAAGAAAAGTACAAGTATTTAAGATTCAAGTAATAATTTACATGTCACATGCAATTAATGACTGTTCATTATTCAGTCACCATATTTCTACTGCATCACTAAATGCAGTAAAAGCATTTTTTTTTTATATGTAAAAAAAAAATATTAAAAGGCCATAATTCCCCTAACGATCAATGCTGACAATATGATGCAGGGCACTTGATGACAAAGGTGTGTAAAAAATGAGATTGAAAGTCGAGTCATTTCTTGTTTGTTATAAAGAACAAAATTTCAAAGACAGTTTTGTAATTTAGTTTGGTTTATTGAGTGTGACTAAATGTTTACACTGGTCACCTGACTGTTATCACCATTAACTGATCATTTATCAGAATTAAATGTGTATTATAATCTTGTTCACATGGCTATTTTCAATATAAATACTTTTTGTGAACAAATGAGATAGGACTGAACACTGAATCTGGTTAACCAGTAACTTGTTGGAACCAAAACTGATTTACCACTGTCACCAGTTAAGAGCCATGTCATCCATGCATTCTAATAAGTCTTTACTGTTGATATTTTAATGTTTTTTATTTTGAAATTTCTTTAAACTTTTCCTTTAACTGTTCCAAACTTAAAACAAGAAAATTGGTAACAAAACTGCAGCAGATAAAAGGTTAAACATGTACATTTAACATTTGATCTTAATATAAAATGTTAAACAATAGTTCCTTGTATTATACATGTATATATTTACAGACTTACCAGTGTTACATTTGATATCAGCACCATTCCCTCATGTGTGGCACACTATGGCGGACAATGCAGCAGCTATCAACTGGGATGTGACGGACAATTTTAACAGAATTTTCCGAGTATTTGTAGCTAACTACTTGCACCTACCTCCTGTTGTATGCAGGAAATAGAATATATCAGATAATTCACAATGCCATGGTAACAAAGTTGTTGTCATGGTATCCGGCAAAATTTACCGAGAACCGAAAAGAACTTACCATCTCAACTACTGACAGTAACATTACTGTTCATGAAGATAATGGACCCCAGTTTTTTCTCAACTACTTGAAGCGGTGCTATTCTTCTCTCCCTGGTGTTGGTATATCATATCTCATTAAATTTAAACTTCACACACACTCATGTTTTCATGATCACTGGCCAAGATCCATAACTTTTAATAGTATTTTGCTGAATTTTTCTCCTTTGTGAAAGTTTCATCTGGCAATATGTTTACAGTGGCTTTTCCCCCCATATACAGCATTCTGTGTAACTATATTATTTAAGTCAAAAAGTTAAGAAAGTACATGTACTGTAATATATCCTCTAAATTCATGTTTGAACAACTTAATTATTACAAATCTGTAGCTAAAAGTTATATTAGCAAAAGTAGCAAAATATTCAATTGTTTTACTTTACAATAAATGAATTTGATAAACATTTGCTTACGATGAATCAGTAACCTTAAATATTAATGGCCTCTTAGTGATGTTACTGTAAGATTTTGAGATAAAATGCTGAGGAAATGGAAATATGTTGAGAATATTTTATTGTTCACCCCACCCACCGAAATATTAACCTGATGCAGATGAACTTGTAGAAAAAATCATCATCTCAGGGTTGAAAAATATCTTAAGAAAATATCATGAATTATAAATGGTAAAATGCAAATCATTTTGTAGTTGTAAAAATGTGTGTTTTGAGCTAAACTGTTTTGTAAATAAGGCTGAAAAAACGAGCTGTATGATTTGTTTTTCAAGAAAATATGTTTTATTTCATATTTATCATGATATCTTTATATCAAAAGTTTGAAGGGTAATTTAAAATGTATCTCTGTTTCATTGTTCTGGATGGTGCCTAATTTTTCATGCAGCCTAAAACATTTTAATGTATGAAGAAATGTATACTGTGTCAAAAGTGTCAAAAGAAAAGTAAGATGAAGAAGATGTTGGACAAATACTAGTATATTACCATCATTTCTTGCATAATGCATAAAATAAAATAACAACACATGCAAAGACATTATTATAGTAAATAATTTTGGTCTGAACAAAAATAATGAAACTGTAATTTTTTTCAATCACTCTGGAAACAATTAATTTATAATTATCTATTCCACAATTTTTTAATAAAAGATAAAAAAAAAATCTTTTCACAATATCCAGATGAAATAGGAAATTATCTTCTGATAACACCTACATGAAACAGGATCAGATTTCAGCTTTCAGTACTTGACAGTTTTGTTCATTGCATGACTGGTGAATGTGGTCAAGTTTGAAGAAAATCTTTCATGCTTTATTAGTAGATACATGTACTGGATAAGATTAACATATCCATGGGTGCCCATGATGGTTACCCTCAGCAATTTAATAGTGCGAGTTTGATCCACTATATTTTCTAATGATCCAAGCATTCTAAGTTAAAGGGATTTGGCAGATAAATTAAATTTACTTTGATGTTTAAAAATATCCAACTGTTATGTTTCTTAATGGACATCTTACGTTGAGTCTTTGTGACATACTTAGTGACAGTGTTGACTCTAGGACAGGGATGAATTTAGGGCACCCGTGAACATGTTTTATGGTTACAGAATGAGTTGATTCATAATTTTATTTTGCACAGAATGTCTTCCATCATGTTAATGTATCATAATAAATGTCTATTTTTAGATTTCTAGTCCGATTTCTGACTTTGTTCTTGTTAGTTTGGATTAGCTATACATGTTTTACTTGTAATAAGTTTGTTAAAAGTGACATTTGTTTTGTTTTTTCATCTAATTGATAGGTGTAAAACAACAAAAAAATTCTGAGGTTAACAGTTTTAAATACACCTAAATCAATTTGAAACATATGACATAAAAATGATAATGATTTATATTGTGGTTAGTCATGCTAGTATACATGTAGAACATTCAGATTTTGGAACCAATTGTTTAAAATTTCTGTGCTTCATTCATGACAAATTGTGTTAATATGATAATGTCTTTAACTCTAAGCCTGCTGGTGGCTAATAAGAGTGTACCCATGTGTCCAGCGCAAACCAAGATCAGCCGGCACATCTGTGCAATCTGATCATGATCTTCACTGTTGGCTATTCTGAGTCAGTTCATGTTTTTGAATTTTCCCTAAATGTGATAAATGGTTTTGTCCAGATTGAAAGACAAACAAGTCCATTTAAGAATTTTAGTCTGGTCTGGGTTAACAAAAAATATGTGATAGTATATACACTTTTCTGTCTTATGTTAAAACAATAGCTTGTTTTGCAGTTGGAAACATAATTATCTTATATAATCAAAATTGAATCTTTATGTTAAAATATTGTTTGAGTGCATGAAATGGAAGCTAGACCTGTATGCTAAAAAGCAGCTATATATGTAAAGTCTTGAAAAATACGAGAAAAGATTTTGTATCTTTTATTGAATTAAAAAAATTTTTTGCATGAAAGTGTTTGCAATTAGGTTATGTTCCATAATAAAAAATATTTTCCTATAGAGTTGAAATATATTAATATAATTATTTTGCTAGAAAAAAAAGCTATATGACACTTATAAAACTTTTTAAATTTTCATATGACTCATTTTTTGCAATACTTTGAACTGCTGAAAACATATCATTATCTTTAAAATATCTAACAATGAACAGTTTTTGTTTTTGTTTTTTTGTTTTTTTACTGATAAACATGCTTCTCAGATTAACCAGCGTCAGAGTTGAGTTACAAAACTTTCAAGCATTTTTTTGTCTGTCATTGAATAAACAGCTGAGTTGTTTTCTGTTTTTATCCTGACTTCAAGGATCAAAAGATATTCATTATTTATTGGTGGGCCCTGTGGGTTGGGATGTTATTGACATTTATAACTAAAGATTTAAATTATAGGTATAAATTCTTGGTTTATCAAATAAAGAATATAGATACACTATCACATCCTGGTCATTTGATAGTGTACTAGTATTGAATTTCATGTTTGCTTTAATGTATCTCTATGGCAGTTACAGCAACATCATTCTCTTTAATTCCCTACTCATTGGGTTTCATTTTGGTTATTTTTTCATCAGTTTATCAGTGTTTATCATGATGCATTATTTACGTCAGTTCTTTTTTCTCAAAAGTTAATTTGCAATGTTTATTCTATTCAAATTTTTATGGTCACTGTTTGAAAATAGATGATTGGATGCAAGGGCTTAAGGTATTTCATTTGAATTGTATATAATTATCACAGCTGATAATTTTTCATATTTTTTTTTGTAGAATAATTAATCCTCAAAGGTGCTTGCATCATGTACATATTCATTTGATGAGTTTTTCATAGCATGTATGACTAGGTGAAAGAAATGATTTTCAACATGATTTTTTATGTGATCCTAGATTTTCATTGAGGCATTCAGGTGCATTTTGAGGAGGGTATCACCCATAAGACAGTGTATTCTTGTACATGGTATTTATTACAGATACCTTTAAGTGAGAGCAAGTCTTGCTCTGCAAAGTCATGGCATTTTCCTTTTTAGCTCACCACAGCATAACATGCTTAAGGGGAGCTATTGTGATCACTTACTGTCTGCCCATCTAGCTGTCTGATTACACATTTGTTCAATCCTAAACCACCTAGTAAATTTAATGAAACTTTCAAATAATGTTCCTTGAATGTATTCTGAAAGTTCCTTCAAGATTTATATTCCATACATGACTCTGGTTACCGTGGCAGCTTAAGGGAAAAATGAGAAAGACCTGGAACTTTATGAATCATTGACGACATTCTTGGCATTGAAAAACACCAGTGCCTTCAGTGCTTTGATTAGATAATTTCTCATCTTACCTTTACCAAGATTGTTTGAATAAGAATGTTAGCTGAAAGAAGTATATGTTCCATTTTAACAAACATTCTGGTGAGAGATTGAGGGTATTCATAACTATCTTGTTTATTGATTATTAATGGCAGGTACTTATAAATATTTTGTTTTAAAATTATTGTTAACCGATGTATGTTCGTTTTGTGTTCAAAATAAATACAGTATGATATTTTTAGTGTATGTGTTGACCATTGATTTTGTGTACTTAATTGGTTTAGAAATATTATCTTTGTAATGAGAAAATAATTATTATTTGATTGTGGATTAGCATTTTCAAATGAGTACACTACTATGTCATTGAGTGATTAGGGTGTTTTAAGACAGTAAACATTTATATTTTTGTTTGTGGAACAGTTTTCTTTCTTAGGACAAGCTCTGATAAAAAGTTTAAGCATGAGCAAAAATGAATATTTTGCTTTTTAGCTCACCTGTCACAAAGTGACCACCTGTCACAAAGTGACAAGGTGAGCTTTTGTGATCGCTTTTTGTCTGTCATCTGTCCATCCGTTTGTAAACTTACTTTAAACGACATCTCCTCATAAACCGCTAAGCTAATTTCATCCGAACTTCACAGGAATGTTCCTTTGGTGGTCACCTTTGAAAATTGTTCAAAGAATTTAATTCCATCAAGAACTCGGGTTGCCATGGCAACCAGAACTCGGGTTGCCATGGCAACAGAAAGAAAAAACTTAAAAATCTTCTTTTAAAAAAAACCCCAAAGAGCTAGACATTATATATTATTTGTTCCTTGTCATGGGACAGTTTTTATAGTAAATTCAGGTGAGCGATTTTAGGGCCATCATGGCCATCTTGTTTAGAAAAAAGAATGTAAATGCTGTTGATGTAATTAAGTTGTTGTTATTCATTAGCATTCAGTCTGCAGATATATATACCATTGTTCAAAATAAAGCATATTTTCATAAATACAAGTGTTATCTTATTGATGAGAATTTCAGACTGTATTCAAAGTTGACTGCAATGGTAGATAACTTAATCACATGAGATAATTGTGATCGAAATGATAGCATACAGATTATTGCAGAGATTCAGACAAACATTGTTAATTAACATAAAAGAAAAAAAGTTACAGCCTACTCTACAGTGGTCTTCCATGGCCATATATTTATGATGGCTGTTGATTTGAATCCTACCGTAATTGAATCACATAATGAGGAAGGTACCCAGCTTGATTTCAAAAGTTTGATGGTTTAACTTTTTTAATGCTCCCCGAAGGGTGAGCATATAGTCGCCGCTTTGTCCCTCTGTCTGTCCGCTTTTCTTGTCTGGAACATAACTGAAACAACAAGCGGTATCAACATGAAACTGTGTAGGTAGATAGATCTCATTAAGTAGGTATGTAGTGCATAAGAACCGTAATTGCCTTGCCTAATTTTTGAATTATTGCCCTTTGTTTATTTTTACTCTTTGAACTTTGTCCGGGACATAACTCTGAAAGATATGAGAGGTATCAACATGAAACTATATAGGTAGATAGATCTCATTAAGTTGGTATGCAATGCATAAGAACCTTAACTCTGCCGTGTCTAATTTTTGAATTATTGCCCTTTGTTTACACTTTAAACTTTTTCTGGGACATAACTAAAAGTTTAAGAGATATCAATATGAAACTTTGTAGGTAGATAGATCTTATTGAGTAGAAGTACACTGATAAAAACCATAACTCTGTCTTGCCTAATTTTGGAGTTATTGCCCTTTGTTCATTTGACACTGTGAACTTTGTCCGGGACATTACTCTTAAATTATAAGAGATATAAACATGAAAATTTGTAGGTAGATAGATCTCATTGGGTAGAAGTGCAGTGCTAAAGAACGATAACTATTTGTCCGGGACTCTCAAACTATTACAGAGTAGATAACCCAATCACGTACCACCCAGAAAAAAAACATTTTTTCTATCGAAATTGGTCTGGTTCCAAACCTTTTAAATTTAAAGGACCCCGATTCAATCAATAAAGCCGGAAACGAAAAAAGGAAATTAATATTAGGCCCGCACAATTACCAACTTGAAGGGAATACATAAACTCTTTAAAATTGGGGTGACATTTTTTGAAAATAAGTTTTAAAAAATTATGTGTTAAATTAAAAATTTTTTCCTTGAAAAATTAAACACGTTTTTTTTCAATTTTTTAAAAGAAAACCCGTTTAACAAATAATTTGGCCATAATTTAATTTTTTATTTTTTTATTTTTAACTTTTTTCCTGAAAATTATATTAAAATTTAAATTTTTTAAAATTTTAAAAATATCCTTTTAAATTCATATCATAAAATATACAAAAGGCAAAAAAAATTTTTTGTTAAAAAGGGTTTAAATATTCAATTAAATAAATTTTTAAAACAATGAATTTGATCAAATTTTTCACTCAAAATAAAATTTTATATTTTAAAAAATGCAAATTCAAATTCATACTCCTTGTTTTAAACATTAAATTTTGTAATTTTTCCTATTTCCATGATCACGTGGGCAATTCAATTAGCATTTCTAAAAATTTTATTAAATTTAAAGGAAAATTTTTTGTTTCAAATTTTAATGAAACTTGAATAGGTGTAGACACGGCCTTAGAATACTGTTTCTTGTCACTTCATATCGCTTGAAAAATCTCTTGTCGCTAAATAGGGAGACCGTTCGGAACCTGACGGAAATGTCCGAGAAGTTGTGAAAAAATGCAAAAAAAAAAAACAAAATCACGTGACGTTATACGATACGCAACTTTACGTTGGCCGCCATTGAGAAAGGACAAAGAATTGGTAAGGAATTAAGGGAAATTATGACAGTTGTTTGTTGATTTATAATTTGACACAATTTAAAATTTGAAGTTAATTGTTGTGTTTTAAACTGGCACAATGTTAGACCCTTGTAATTCGTTTTTGGACAGTGAGCCAGAAGATTGTGTGGTGTTGCAAGCAGACGCTGGTCAGCCTGGTGTAGATGGTTTGGTTGATGACGATTTAGATGTAACTGGGACCCTGTTTGCTTCGTTATTTACTGACTTTTCTAACCCTTGTAGCACTAAAACAATCACAGACATGAGTTCTTCCTCTGACAGCGAAAGCAATGACATTTTTAACTATCTTTCAAAAACTCAAGAAAATTTGATGAAAAAAGAGATTGTAGCTCAAGAAAATTTGATGACTAAAGAAACTGTAACACAAGAATCGGTCAAAAGAAATACAAGGTCATGTTCAAATTCAGTTCTGAAAGAAAATAGTAAATCAGATTCAGTAAAACAATCTTTGTACAGTCGCCCGCCTCTAATGTGTTCAACGACAGTAAATTCAAAATCATGCAAGATAAAATTTGATTGTCAGTCTAGAAAAGGTGGCAGTTCTGACAGATCAGAAAAAAGCATGAATAAAAATGCTATAATAGCCAGAGAAAATCGTGAGAAAAAGAAACAGTATGTTAAACAATTAGAAATTGATATTGAAGACGTAAAGCTACAAAATGTTGATTTGCAATTGAAGTTAGAAACAAAATCAAAGCAGTGTGCTTCTATGCAAAAAGAAATACAATATTTGCGCAATGTTTTGGCAAATCAGACTGGTATATCTGCACTTTTGAAAAATATTCACGAAACCCAAGGATTGTCATTTTCATCATCACTGGGCCGCAAAGTTGAAAACAAAAGCAGTGACACATTAAAAAGACGCTTGGATGAAAACGATAATTATGACAATTCTAGTAAATCTAAAGGTATTTATGTAACAGCAACAGGGTCCCATAAAAAGAGCAAACAAGATACAGTTCAGCCAGTTTCAGAAGAGTACAGTCTCCCATTAACTCCAAGCCCCAGTCCAGAAGTTGCAGGAGGTGTATGCCTTCATGTCAATAATAACAAAGTTTCCTTGGAATTGTGTTCAAAATGCGCTGAAAATGCTAGCAATGTTTGGAATGAAGCAGGTGATCATACTTACTTCAAAAATTGAAAGGATAAAATCAGTGTGTAAAAAGTGGTTACATATGTGCTAAATCGTAAAGTAAGGATGTGTAAAAATTCCAGTATTGATTCTATTGTGAAAGTGGAGATGAAATAGCATGTAATGTTGAATAACATATGGCTTTCAGTATATGAAAGTGGAATTTAAACAAGTGTTAAGCAAGCAAATTTATCCAAAAATGCAAATTGCCATTGCAATGTCAGGAATTTTAAAGTTCATTTAATTTCATATTTAAACTGTAAGAGAACAATGGAGTGTTTACTTTGAATATCAATTACACTTTTTTTTTGTTCTAAAGTAATTTGTGTAACAATGTTTGCTAGTGTTAGTATGTAACTTTGTACATATTTTATTTTGTGAATGTGCTAAATTGCTAAACAATCTATGTTTTACCTTGCAGCAATGCTTGATGTAGCTGTAAATGAAAATACTGTTAACGAAGGGACAAAAATCTGATAACACGGTGTAGTATGACCAAAAAAATGGTCTGTGTCATTTTGTATCATTTGTTTTTCCATATTATATATATGTTCAACTTTCTTAACATAAAATGGAGTTGAAACTAGAAGACGTAACATATTGAAATCATAACTGTCCAGTAAATTCAATATACTGTCCAGACTCAGTTGACAGTATAGTGTCATTGCCCATGAAGAATTATCACTCCATTTAATGTTTGAGAAAAACTTTTCTTTTTCAGCTGGGGAATTTCATTGAAACTTTTTAGGGGAAATATAAATTCTGTCAAGTGTAAAAATTGTGGTACATTAGCTGATATAGTGCTTGTGTGTTCTACTATGCAAAGGCTCTACCATTTAGCATATTTTTTATTTATTTTGTTCAGAACATTAGTTTTACACTTATTACTATTAACTTGAAAAAAGTATTTCACCTTAAAAGTAGCATACTGATAGTGTGAGATTATTAAAGGTTTATATTTGGATAAAATTTGGCAATATGAATATTTATCTATATTCTGATTCTTTCAAAGTCTGTTTTGGTCCATGTACTATGTGTATCTCTTTCATATAAAAACAATGCAAGTTCAAGATGGGTTAAGGTTAGGTTGATAGTGGGTAGGGAGGGTACATTGTTATATGACACTTATTTCAATGACCGTTTATTTTCTCTTTCAGTGAATTATGCTGAGAAGCGATGAGTATGTATATATGAGAAGCAAAAGGGTTTAGTTTTCAATTGAAAACATCATTAATGGTAATAAATATTTAATAATTGTTAACATTATTTCATAACTGATAGAAATGATCTATATTTCTTTATATATTGTGATGAAATACAAATTTTTATATCTGCTATAAATTATAATAAACCATACTTCAATACTTGAAGAAAAATTACATGGATTATCTTGGGACTAAGATTATGTTTATATTCTTAAAGTTGTAATAAGAGTATACATATCAAGGGCCTGGTGCAAAAGTGTTGTATCTTAATCATAACTGATTTGCAACCATTTAAGCCCTTGAAATATCACTGCATATTTGATTTCTATTCAGTATTGTAAGAATTTCATTCACTAACTGTTTTTGTTGATAATCTTCATGAGCTTTGTTTTTGTTTTGTTTTTTCCAAGTTCAAAGATATTTTTTTCAAATAATCTTTTCAAGTTCAAAGATATTTTTTCAAATAATCATTCTAGTTGTTTGGTTTTTGGAGTTGTTTTTTTATTTAAGAAAAAATGAAATAGTCTGTTCTACCTTTTAGATATAAATGCAGCACTTGTCAATTTCAGCTTGTAAAGTTGATAGTTTTTTCAATTCTTTTCAGTTGTAAAAATGTTTAAAACCTTATTGCGCCAGAATTTGTGTTAACATTTTGAAATTCCGTACAAGAGAAATAAGGCCAATATTAAGTTACGTCTTTAATTTCAAGTAACCAATTCTAATCTAGTTTCAAATTTGATGCCTATTTAAACAACAGTGAATATGTTTGAAGTACAGTAAATATTTAAAAAATTGTATTCATGATATAATCAATGTTCACTTTTGAAAGTTGTTTATGAACATGTTTGTTTCTTTTGAAAATCTCAACACAAATTATTTCATGTAAATAACTGTAAATATTGATTGGTTTTGTTATTGGAGCTGGTAATGTTGTATAGTTCTGTTATTTTGTCAGATGTAACTGGATGGTGAGCCCCTATAACACCTGCCTAGGGGCTGGATGCTGAAGTGTCCTAGTATAACCTTTGTACATTTTGTAAGTATAGAAACCATTCCCATGAATTGTGCAGCTCAAACAAGGTAGGAGAGGAAAAGGAGAATTGATGGTAAAATTCTAATTAACTTCAAACGGTAGTAAATTAAAAATCCATGTATCAAATTAAGATTTGCAAAACTGCATTTATATTACTAGTTATAAAGATTTTTGACAGGTTATACATGTATGGCCCTAGTATATAAACGGCTGTTTGAAAATATAACCTGAGCCGCTAGGCGATGGTTTATATTGCAAACAATCGTTTATATACGGTCAAATAACCTGTCTGAAAAAAAATTGTTGAATTTTGTTTTGAAAACTATCTAGAATGATAGAAAATGGTCTAACTAAGAATATAAAATCCGAACACCAATATCTTTAATTCAGTCATTAACGTTGTACAGACGTTTAAAGTGTTATTTAGATGATGTCAAAATGTAGCGCTAAATATCACGTGCAAAACAAGACAATAATTATATAACTGCACGCTGTACAATTGCAGTTGCCTAGCAAGCAAGGGGGTTCATAACCATTTTTCTTTGACAATGAAATTAAATAAAAAGTTTATTTTTTCGGGAAATATGGTATATATTTTCACTCAACATGATAAAATGCCAAAGGAAAAAATATCCTCTTATTACTTTCTACTTAATATCTTAACGTTAATCAGGGCTTTTACACCAAATTTAAATCTGTATATTAGGTTATGTGCTCAGTGGAAGAAAGAACCTTGGAAAAATTCCCAGTTTTAACTCTGAAAAATAGTTTCCTTGTTTTTTATTGGGTATATGAAATAAAAAAGTAGAAAGAAACACTATGGGCTTAGCAAATCTACCTGCCCCAGTTTATAAAGATGAGAATTTGAGATTAAATATAATCTTGTTCTTAGAATTCTCAGCAATTAAAAAAAAATAATTCCCAACTTGTGTGCTTTAATGTAAGTACAGGTATTATTTTGAAATATACCTCAGTTGCATACACCCCTCTATATTAACCCATTACTTCATGAGCATTTTGTGAAAAATAGCTGTTTTCATTGAAAAGTCTCCCGTTACAAGTTCAAATTGCTATAATACTATAAAATTTAAAACTGCTTCAACACTAATCAAACTTGGCACAAATGTTGACTTGACCATTGCCCTTGCAACAACATGCTCAGGCTTAAATTTTCTGTTACCATGGCAACGTTAAATAAAAAACATGTAAATTAAATTATTAATATATATTTTGCTATAACTAAATATGCGAAATGTTTTCCTTCCTTCTCTCAAATGAAGAAAAATTAAATAAATACTGAACTTCAGAAAGATAAAATTAGATAATAAATTGTTAACCTTATTTTAAATTTTCAAAAACTAGTGTTCATTGTTTTTCTCAACTTAAATTTCATGAGTTGATTGTCATGGGAATGGTTTCATGCTGGAGAATAAGGTATGTTTAATATGAGAGTTAGAGGAGAAAAAAACTACAGTTTATTTAAAGACCACTTAAGCTTTTTACCTATTGCCCTGTTTGGACAAAAAGTTCCTCATTGGCTAATTACCATAAACACCTTTTATTTCTGTTAGTTTTGGTATGGTTAAAGGGATTATTGTCTATGGGCAATTTTATGGCAAATAATTTGACCATCAGCCTTCAGTTGATTAGCATTTAGTGTGCTCTAAAACCATTTTTTCAATGTGATAAAACTCAATGTTTGGCCTTTTTAAAGAAGAAAATATTCGTTTCTGAAGCTTAATGTCTTGTACTGTATTTGAGATCAATATTACAAATTCTCAAGTTCAATATCAGATACTTTTATTACTGTGAATTAACATGTTGTATAAAAGGAAATATGTTTGCTGATTCTAGTGACTTGTTCATATATCAGGTTTTAGACACTTGCAAGTTGAAAGCTTTGTAATGTGCGAAAACAATTTTAAGAAATTTAAATGAAAAAAAAAAAAACCAGAAGATTTTTCTACAGCTTGACAAAGATTTGTGTTAAAGATTTTGCAACATTTGAACTTTTGCATGTGTATTTACAAACTTTAAATTACGGTACTATATTGTGTTAAACTATAAAAAAAGTTATTTATAATTTTTAAGTCTTGAACTGTTTTTCATGTAAGAATGATGTAATGATTGTAAATTTTGTTTCTCGTTTCTTGTCAGAAATAAATATTTTGCAAATAATTTCAAAGTTTTTGTATTTTTACCACAATCCATTAAGTGGAAAATTCTGTACTTGCTTGAAAAGATTTGTGGTAGATCTGGTTTTATTCGAGCGAGGCATAATATCTCCATGGCAATTAGTTTAAACATATTTATTTAAGCTTGATTGCGAAACAAGTTCTTGTAACTTATATTAACCACTTTAGAGTCTGCTTCCTGGAAACAATCTGTACTGATGTCATATGAAGAAACATGGTTATAACCCAATTAGGTCTCAAACCCATGATTACTGGGTTGAGAGGCAGACACCTTAACCACAAGGTCACAGCTCCCCTTATTACAATTAATCTCGGAGAGTGTCTAATGATATGTCTCTCACTGCAAATTTAGAAATTGTGTATAGAATCACTTACATGAAAATTGGTAATTACTGGAAAGTAACTTGGGAAAGCCTGCATGTGATCATCTGCCACTTACATGAAAATTGGTAATCACTGGAAAGTAACTCGGGGGGGGGGGGAGCCTGTAATCATCTACCAAGATAAGACTAAAATAAGTGTGAACTCAACTGTAGCTGGATAGCTTCCTCATATGAAAGTCCAAAATCTGCGTAAAAACCAGATAGACAAAAACTTGCATCTATATACAATGAGGAAGTACATGTATACTGCAATCATTTTGTTGCGTTGATCAGTCAGTTTCCATTTTCTCTGCTCTAGAACTTATAGAACTAGAACTCTTCTTGAGTTGTACAGACATTGTGGTCACTCTCCAGCTTTAATGGTAGAGGAAGATGCTCGTACAACTCCTACGTTTGAACTACAGGCATTCTACAAGCCAGCTTGGTGGCAATCTCATAAAAGTCGAATTCAGATAGAGAAGAAACGTTGGTGACGAGGGCAAAGCCATGACTTGGGGTTATTTTAAAGCAGTTGACCAGCATAAACTGGACGTATTTATATTACTTTGTATATGTTAGCTTGACCCCTCACCACTGTAGGTTCTAATCCCATCAGGGACTTTGGACTTTCATATGAGGAAGCTATCCAGCTACATGTAGCATACGGAAAATTTGGTGCCTCTTAGTGCCTGAAATAATGCATGAATGGGGCACCTAAGGTTTTCCTCCACCAGTATATTTACTGGATAGGGTTATTACTAGAGTTCTCCATTGAAACTTGAAGGTTCTACTCAAGAGTCCCATAAGGCAATTCAGCACAAGAGTTTGATTCATCTAGATAAATATCCAAAATACATGTAGTTCAATACAATGTACAAGTACATTCCGTACAACATCAACATGCCCTTATATGACCCATTTATTATTTACCTTGAATTTAAACACAACATGAAGCAGTCTTGAAAGACCTAACAACATACCAACTAACCAGTTTGAAAGCATAATTTAATTAAAAGCAAACTACGAGCTATATATATGCAAAATTAGCTATATATAAGCTATCTGTATTCTGTAACCACTTTTACCTATTTCTCTTAACTTTTCAGTATTTTAGTACCTTTCTAGGTAGGAACCATAATTGTACTAGTAAATGAGTTATGTCATACCCTTAAGGGACTCCCCTATGTTTTTTTTGACATAATGAGACTGAAAATATTTTTCTGAGATGTGTGAACCATTTATGTACAGGTAGGTCTGAACTTAGAACTAGTGTGCAAAGTGATAGTTATACTTTGCGAAATGGAACAGCTGTTTGCAGTTTCAAAGATTTAATTAAAATAATGTCCATTTATAAGTGGGTATTCAGACAGTTCAGTTGGAAAAAGCCCTAGATCCACTGTTAGCTCAGCGGTGAGTTTCAATATTTTTCTCTAAATTTTTCATTTAAGAAACATCAGTAAAAAATTGCTGTGCCCTGTGTGGTACCCCAATGTTTGTTTCGTACCCCAATGTTTGTTTCTTCCATTCCGCAAAATATAAATATCTGCAAATGTCCAAAAACAATATCACTTGATATTTGAAAGGTTTACAAATTTTATGTTTTTAGGCCTTCTGACCTATAATCAATATTAATGATAAGTTCTTCTTTGTGCTTATTTCAAATTACACAACGAGGTATAATGTCTATAAATGGTAGATGGGTAACTATATTCAGAGATAAGAACTTTTCAAATTTTAATATCATAGTATAATCTGTAAAGAATAACAAATAAATATCTTTTATATATACACGTACATTTAAAGTTGTGATTCATTTGTTCATTTCACAGTTTCAAAAACATTTTACAATGTAATATCACAAAACATCATACCAGGGGAGGTAATTTCACTTGAAAGTCTCGATTTTCTAACCAAAAAAAAAAAGAAACAATTTACTTATTTATCAAATATGTGTCCAACTCATACAAATGACACATTTTTCAGTTGTTCATTAACTTTCACCTCAAAAATTAAAACCTAAATGCAAAATGTGCAAGAAAAGAAATATCACTTTCTTGAACTTTCATTTTCCAAGCATCGAACTAATCGTCCATAAACTGAAACTATATTCTAACTTATTGTGTCAAAAATAAAGTGAGAAATAAAAATCTGATGACCTATCAATTGTTTATAATAAACATGATTAAAGCTTTATTATCACATTTTCAAGTTTCCTACATCAAAAATTAGGCCCTGCAGTAACATTTTCTACATAAAAAAAACCAAGACCAATGTATTAATACATCACTATAGAGAACAAGTTCATTAACGTGTACAAACAAATTCAATAAATAACATTCAAATATCACAGACTTGGAATAAAGAGTATACAAATGCGAATCATTCACTAATATTACTATGAGAAAAAATATTTGTATCTTCGGGAAACTTAGCGGTTAAGAAATATTTGTACATGTATCTTCACGTAACTTATCGGTTAATATTAGTACAAGTGAAATTTCATACATCATTCAAATATCACAGATATGAAATAGAGACAAAAGTCAATTATTTATTAAGTTTCCATGAAGAGATATATTTCTATCAGCTAACTGATATGTAATTATTATTTCACAACTTAAAATATAACCATATAAACCAAGTGATATTCCATTATCAATCATGACTGGATCCAACCAAAGCCTGGTATCCATTTCTACAGTCCAAAAAATCCATATAAAATGCATAACATACCCATTATAGCTTCATTTTTATTAAGAGTCCAAAATATCTATCAAATGCATTTATTACATGCTTTTCCGTGGTTTATAGAAATATATCAGTGATATAAAACTGGTAATTTCACTGTTTTAAACAGTGAAATTATCAATTTGATAATTTCACTGTTTTGAATTTAAGCCCCTTACGTTGTTTCAGTGAATATTCAGCGTGCACAGTACTGGGAACCAACTTAATGACGTGACGTCGAAAATGACGTCACGTATTATTATTTGGCGCGCTTTTCATTCAGTATTAGGTTAAATGTCTTTTTAAAACGTTTCTTTGCATATAATAAAAAGAAAATTTGTTTAGTTCAGTGTAAGATCGAAATATATTTCACCTTGTGAACACCAAAAGTTCATATTTCACTCGTGGCTGCGCCACTTGTAAAATATATCTTTTGGTGCTCACTCGGTGAAATATATTCCGATCTTACACTGAACTAAACAAATATCCTCTATATCATACTCCATCTATCCATATTTTCATTCTAAAAATTTATATCCAATATTCTTATTATCCATGAAGTAACAAAGTTCTGTAAAATGTCAAAAGATGGTGGTGTGAAATAAAGAGGTCATTATACATTGTTGAGAACAATACTAACTTCTATTGGACTTGTACACAGCTGCAAAACCTATATCAGACTTGGCAAGCAATTTGTCTATTATAACAAAAATAATCTTAAAATAAATATGCTGAAGATGAGAGGTACATTTTTTAAACTAAAAACAAAAGAATTCATTTAGCTATGGCAACTAACAATATGTTAAGTTTTCACTGTTCTATCATCCTCCTTAAATATATAGCCAACCTGTAGTAAAACCAGTAATTTCTGATCTCATCTACAATGTAAATTTCTAATAAATCTCAGCCTTTAAGCGATTGTAAACCCTAATTTTGTAGAGGGTATCATTCGAGGTAGTTCTGGGACGGAAATCTTACTACTCTCATCTTTTTCACTACTCATATGAAAGTCATCTGAATAACTGCCATCACTTATTAAAGACAAAATATTTTCTGACTCTGAAGGCACATACGAGCTAACAGATTCAGTGTGGATTGATTCCTTCTTGAACTCAAGTCTTCTTTCTCGCAAATGCTTTCTTGGTCGAGGTGATGGATTTTTAGGGCTACCTTGTGATGACCTTGACCTCGGAGTATCTGTCGGAGTGGGACGAGCATTCATACTGTCGACTCGAAGCTGCTGTGACCGTCTAACAGCAGGAAGAGGCGACTGCTTTGATGCCTTTGGATTTAATACCTCAAACTTCATTGAAAGTAAGCCTGTGTTAGTGTTAGTTAATGCAGGACTTGGTGATCGCACAGATCTATCTGTAGCTGGTGTAGGTAGAGTGTCTGTTTTCTCATCTTCGCTGATCAGTTTCTGTAGTTCGGGTTCATCGGTTGAATGGAACTGTTTCGTGTCATAATCTTCTGTAGATTTAAATAATGACTCTCCGGTGTATGGGTCCCGTTTAAATTGTTTTGACATTCTGGTAGACTCTAATGGAGAGTCATCATCAATTGTAGTATTCATAGAAGATTTACCATCTCTTGCAATAGATTCCGGTAAGGTCTCATCCCCTACAATATATATATTTGTAGCATTTAGTCATTCATATAATATTATAATTATAAATTTCAAGATGACAAAATCATTTTAACAGAAATACATATATAGTTATCAAAAGGAGTCAGATAAGTGCATTTCAAGTTAACCTTTAAAGTTTTTATTAGATCCCTTTTCATAAACATAACACAAAGCAGAAGTTAAAATAAATTTAATTCAAATTAATCACAGATCAGGAAATCTGCTCAAAATCATTTGTTATGTTTGTTTAATTAATGTTATACAGTCATTAAAACAAGAGCTGTCCGTAAGACAGCGCGCTCGACTTTTTTATTGCTTGCCAATAAAAAAAGTTTTTGCAGTAAAAGGCAATACAAGAATCTCTGTATTTTTAAAGTGAACTAGTTGTTTGATACCCTTGAATATTACAGCAATGTTTATATGACATAATTTATGGTAAAGTGAACAAGTGGATAGGAATGAATTTTTTTAGATTTTTTAAGTTTTTTAGTGCTTGCCTATAATACAAAACATTGACAGTTAAGGGCCATAATTCAAATAAAATCTTTGACAGAATTACCTTCTCCTGGACATGTTTGGGAATCATGATTGTAAACAAGTATTCCAACTTTCAAATTAATATCTCAAACAGTTCAGTCAAAAAGTGGACTGGTACTAAAAACTTAACCAAGATTCTAAGTCGATAAAAGGCCTTAATTTTTAAAACAAATCCTTGACAGAGTTACCTTCTCTTGCGTACAGATGGGGTAATGATGTGAAATAGCATTAAAAGTTTCAAAGCAATATCTCAAAGGGTTAAGGCAATAAGTGGATTTTACCCATATTCAATGTATTTTCTAAGTCAAAAAGGGGCATAATTCTGTCAAAAACCTTGACAGAGTTATGTCCTCTTGTCTGTTGATGAAGGTCGTGATGGTAAACAAGTATGGTCAGTTTCAAAGCAATACCTCCAATGGTTTTGAAATAAAGTGAGGTGGTACAAAAAACTTAACCAAGCTCAATACACTTTCTAAGTCAAAAAAGGGCCATAATTCTGTCAAAAACCTTGACAGAGTTATGTACTCTTGTCTGTAGATGGAGGTTATGATGGTGAACAAGTATGGTAAGTTTCAAAGCCATACTTGTAATACTTCTGAAATAAAGTGGGGTGGTACGAAAAACTTAACCAAGGTGTGACGCCGACGCTAACGCCGACGCCGACGCCGGGGCGAGTAGGATAGCTCCCCTTTTCATAGAAAAGTCGAGCTAAAAACATGCAGTAGCTCATGTGTTGTTGAATTTTGTACACACATTATTATATGTTCCATAAGTACCTGACAATTTCTTCGACATATGAAGCAGTGGTTCTAAGTGATAAAAGTACTAGTCTAAATATGATACCTTCATTAAACCCTGGGAACATGTATTTCTTCTCTTTTCTATCTGTGGCGGTTTCTTCCTCAAAGCTATCACTAAATGTGTTTTCATCATCATCACTCTCATTGGCTCGGGCACTTGGAATATGAACCTACAATAGTGTATAATTCTGTATAATTTTATCGATTTATTCAGGGAAATATACGGAAACACATACTTTATTGTCACATATATCAACATATACAAAAATATAATTATAAAATTAGGTAAAATGTTTTGTTACCCTAGGATTGCTCATTAAGCTAAACAATAATTTTCAATGAGGTCCAATTACTATAATATTAACACACCAAATTATAGAATGATAAATAAATTATAATGAAGTTAAAATAAGTTAATTAATTTTGCCAACATTGTACTGCAATTAAGACACATTTATCGATATGATGAGACAAATACATTGCATTCAATTAAACTAAAATAAATTCGGTATAAACAAAAATACAACATCAACATGTAAAACATTATCATATAAGTCACAAAAAAAATTTAAAGGCAAGTCATTGCGTTATAATTTTCTGATTCAATAAAATATTTTCATGAACATATATTTGTATATTCATCTATTAAAATTGTCATGAATTTTAAAGCATCTCATTTTGAGTATTAAGTTTATTTACAGGGTAAGCACTGCTGGTAAAAATTGTAAAATGAAAGACTGGCATCTTTATTACGACTCTTTTACAGACACTAGTGAGAAATAGCCTCTTAACCCAACTTACAATATAATACATATTTCCTTTCGACGGCCATAGCGTAATAAAACGTACCGAAAAATTGACTTCTCAAAAGCCGGGCCCTATAGTCATAAGAAGGCTATAACGTAATAAACCGGTATAAAATTTTGGCTTCCTGAAAGCCACTACTGTTTGTCGTAGGAAGGCCACCAAAATTTAGTTTTAAATGACTAAATTCTTGAAGTTTACCTTTCATTTATTTCATTCTGTTAAATGTTGTTCAAATAAAAACACCAAATATGTTAATTGTATAGTGCCCTTTATTGACAGATATAGTAAATGTTTAGATATACAGTACACTTTTTAATTAATGTGGTAATCAAATCGATATCCAAATTAATTGAAGAAAATCTTCTAAATGGTATAGTATTTTAAAATGCATTTATTGATACATCAAACGGAGTTTCTGTAAGCAGTTCTCTTATTTGAAACAAAAAGGAGTTGAACTTACAAAATTCACGTTGAAAAGCAAAGTATCAATCATCCTTCCTGAGAAAAATTGATTTTCATTGATTTTCAATAATTACGTTTTAAAACGTTGTGGACGTTTTACTCAACATGGTATTCTAATGGGCTATAACTGTAAATAATGTAAAATTTACCGTTTTAAAACGTTCAGAACTTGTTTTAAAAAACAAGGATTGTGAGTCTGTTTATTGCAGTTGAACGTAATATTAACAGTGTTATACGGTATGGCTTTGTTGTTTATTGTATGCAGTTGAACAGCCATAGCGTAATATTTTGATTTTTCATAAACACATTAAAAAACCAGAATGTACGAAAACGAGGTTTTTACGGGTTTGCATGACACAAAATTCAAGTTTTACGCTGATTTACGCTACGGTTTCTAGAAAGGTATATTTTTGATACGTTTAACTACGCTATGGACGTCTGTCGTAAAATAAGACTGGCTTTCAGAAATGTAAAAATTCGATACGTTTTCTTACGCTTTGGCCGTCCTACCGGTAAAGCGGATGGCCGTCGAAAGGATATGTAGTTTTGATCATGTTTTGAAAACATTCAGGTAGATTTTATTTTTTGTTGAAGTTAATAATCTAATAAAATATGCAAATCTAATGAAATCTCATCTGCATATAATATTGTATCCCATTCAAATGTTTACCTCTAATCTTGAACTTGGTACACTATCAGCAGCAGAGTCCAGTTTGTCACCTGGTGCCATATCTGGGGAGGCAATTTCTCTAGCATCAGAATCAAGATGCACAGCTTGGTCCCTACCTTCACTATCAATATCAGTATCCTCTCGAACTTGTACAGTCCCCTGCAAAAACAGTAATTGTATGCTACTTTTCAAAATTCTAGGTTAAAAGTAAGGAAATAGCACTATTAATCGAAACAGATGTAGTTCTTAAAGCAGTGATCTGAGTTCAATAAATTTAGATAAAGCTGCTACTACGTTTTAAGGCCTGCAGACATACATATGCTGTAAAATGATTGTGATATGCTGGAAAAAATGATTCTCTAAAGCTTACTTACAACTAAGTCTTGTAATAATTTGTTAAGTTAAACAATATTTCAAGTGATGAATTCATAATCAAAGACAAATAAAATCTTGATGAACCATTGATGGATTTTCATCATTTTTTGGACTCCAAGATGAAATTAATTGAAACTTATGGGCTTTTTACATTTTCTTTGAGAAAATGCATATATAACAGATTACTTCTTACCTTCAGGTCCTTTGGCTTTCTGCCCTTTGGTGATTTACTTCTTGACTGCTTTCCTTTAACTGGAGAGTTATCACGTGATTTACTCAATTTCTTTTTCGTCTTCTTCACCCTTGAGTCCTCTGTCATCAGCTGACTCTTCCCTAGTGTTGCCTTAGCAAGTTCAGCAGCTGCTAGTCTCCTGACTTCAGTATATGTATCAGATAAGTTTCCTGTATCACCTTCAAAGTCTGGTTCTTTCAGAGTTTTAGCAACTTTTTGTTGCTGCTTTAGAGCTTTTGAAGCTTTCTCCTCTTGCTCAGCAGATTGCAACCAAGTCGGATTTTGTTTGGCAAGCCTCAGTCTTTGCGTATTAGTTAAACCAAAGACCAGTTTTGTTTTCTTAATGCCAGCTTCAGGTGCTTTTCTTATCCAACCTTTGTTTTTTGTAACATTCTCTGATGGACGGGCAGCTGACTTAATTTTTTTTCCCTTCTTTTTATTTGAAACATTGGATATATTCTCATCCACCTCTGGTATATCATAGATATTTTCTTCTGACTTACTTTTTAACACTTTAACTGGGGCTTGGGATGTTTTTTGGACAGGTTCAGCAATATTTCTCACTTGATTCACTTGTTGCATGGCCTGATTTACAAACTGAGGATTCTGTATCTTAGACAACTCTGTCAATAGGGCAGTTAGTAATGGAAACACTGGTTCTGCCATATTCAGAGCTTGTAAATTCAAACCTGGAACATTCCCTTGTTGACTTGACTGATCAGCACCTTTAATATTGCTTATTACAATAGTCTTTGCATCCTTTAGCTTAGGAGCTTCCTTAACAATATTCGATGTAGGAATAACATCTTTTTCTTTCATTTTTGCTTCATTTGATTCAACTTTTTCAAAATGTTCATCACCAGATAAATCTTCTAATGTAGCATCATCAAATGTGCTTGAGTAGCCCAAGTAAGCATTTACATCTCTTTCTATCTGTACATCAGGTTCAGCTTTACTATTATAAAATAGTGGAGGAGGACAATTAATATTTGGGTTGATTAAAATGCCATCATCTTCATCACTATCCTCTGCTTGAATCTGAAATTCTTCCGTCCTTTTAGGTAGAACTTTATGTCGCCTCTCAGTTTGTGTTTCTATTGTTTTGGATGACTTTGTTTCAACCTTAGCTGAAACTTCAACATGGAATTTTTCATTTTCCATCTCAACTGTTTGCATTAATGTATCACGCTTTTCCACATCTGTCATTGAACCCATTTCTCTAGTGCTGTTAAGATTTTCTCTCTGCTTATTGACAGGTTTTTGACTTTGAATAGGTTTAGCAACAGCTTGCACTACCTTTTCTTCTTTGATTTCCATTATTTCATCTATCACAGATTGTTTTACTTCACTTTTATTCCTTTCAGATGCTCTTTTAACTAAAGCAGTGGCCGGTAAGTGTGCTATTAACCCGGGGCCTAAACTTAATAACCTGAATCCTAAGATCATGTAGCCTATCTCTTTCCCCATCAGACTGTAGATTTTGAAAAGTCCTTTGTCACCATGTACTGAAGGTACAGTATGCCCATTCTTTCTTATGTCAGTTTTAATAAAATCAATAACTTCATTCAATGCGAGAGAGCTATTTCCTAGCAATTTTGGTACATCCGGGTACTCATCAATAACCATTATATATAATGGAGTATTTGATAAATGCATAGTAAGTGTGTCTAATGATATTTTAAAAAGACAAGATTTTCCTTTTTTCAACATGAAATTACCTTGTTTATCTTGTAATTCTGCGAACTGGTTTGGGACTCTGTAGTATGGATCTCTGTTAATCTTAGTCTTGATGCTGTCTGATAGCTCTTTTTCCACATGGCTTATAAGTATGGTAGGAAAATCAAGTAGTCTAAATGCAACAGCGGGAAACCTACAGGTCACATAAGGCAAGTAAAGTTTTTCAACCACAAGTTCCAAAGAAAACAGAGACTCTTGTGAACTCGCCATTGTCTTTTATCTTGCAGTTAACAACAACCAATAAGAATACTGCAGTACTCTTTAAACAACCTGTGTCAGATAAATCTATTGCATTTCACAAGTTATAGAGTATTTTCTGCAGGACTATGACATTTCCCATTTAAAAGTTGAATCATAACTTCCATGTCCAAACATATCCAAGTTATTCGGGTTTCTCTGTTGTTTTCGTTGTAAAATAATACAAGACTGGTTCTCAATATTTAACCGAGTATAATAAAGCGTAAAGATGTTTAGTGTAGCAACATTAACTGTAAAAGGGCGTAATGAGAAATTTTCACATAATTTAACATGTACTACAAAATAATTGACAATAAATACAGGATTTATTTTCATCGATTGGATTGGTGGTAGCCACGAGTGAAATGTGATAATTTTCATAGCATAAGATGGAAATAAATCCTTTTTTAACAGAAAATAACTTGAATTTTCTTTTTATTATACTGTATACATTTTTCTCTTTTTGACATCACAGTTTGAAATATGTTTCACTGCAGTGAAAATATGGAAAATATGCTTCACTGCAGTGAAAAACGGAAAATGAAAATACGCATTTTGTTTCATTAATATTTTTCAATATCTATATTCAGTCTGTTTCACTGTAGTTAAGTTGACAGTGAACCCCTTTGCCAAATCGATGGTCTCACTATAAAATGCCGGACCTACATTTTTTTCGATTTTGCGTTTTTGGAAATTTCCGAAGCTTCAAGAGCTCCCGCTTCTTTTGCCTGACTCATATTGAAGTCAGCCAATCACAACCTTCAAAATTCATCACATGTAGAAAAGCCGAACTTTCATTGGCCAACTCTTTTGATTTAGAAAATACCGAAGCTACATATGATGTAGCTCCGGTGTTGAAATATTGTATATCTAACAAAAAGTGGAGAGAAAATTGCAACTTCGGCATTTTATATTCATTTGATACTCGTTTTTACATTCGCTTTTCCATGGCATTTCAACATCGAAGCCCATTGAATTAATTGCGAATCGGCATAAAAACTTCAAATATATTAGTTGAATATTAATTAATTAATAAAAACATGTCGCAGGATCCTGTAAACGGTTTTGACTATTCAACATTGAGCTACTCAGGAGATATTGAATTGAAACAAATAAACTAACCCCTCATTTTATATACGGCAAAAAAAGTGGAAGTTGTTAAAAATTAAGATCATTGCTGACATCACTCGCATCTTATCGGCCCTTTCCGTAAGTCTTCGGGTAAGGACCTCGACACAATAATAAGAATTCACAGATACAATATTTCGGTCTAACTGACGCTAAGAAACTAAACATTAAAACATATAGTTATTTAATGACTAGAGTTGTTGGCTTTTTTTCAATATATCAAGTCCACCTAAATCATGATGATTTATACACTTAGCAAATAATAAAATACGCTTAAACGTGTCGTAATTAAGCACAAGAAACACACTGGCAGTAACAAAAGATATCATCAGACCTCCAGGACATATTTTGAGTTATCACAAGAACTCCGTGACATTTGAAATATCGGGTCTGGGCTTTATGTTTGCAACTCTCCATTATAATTAGGTTTACATCTGAAAGCACGTTGTAGAACTATTTTCAATCCATATTAACTCCAAGGTTATTATGAAAAATAAGCTGCCTTAACTGTGATTTGAACTTCAGACCTCTCGCTAACTAAAGTAGCGTGAAACCCCTTGGCCAAAGAAGTTATAAGATTAGTGCCTGAAGAAAACCAAATTATTCTAAATTAGGGTTTGTAATCCTTATAAATTTCGAGATAGTTTGTTCACGGTAAACTTGTTGCTCAACACTGAAGTAAATAATCATGGAGCTTAATATAAGCATGCATACCTGTAAAGAATTACACAATATTAGAAATCTTTTGACCAAGTAATTTTTTCCCCGAGAAGGCTTGAACATTTATACTTAAAAGGGAAGTAACCGCTTCGAGGATTTCAGACTCCTTTCAGATTTTGCAAATAAGTATATTAGGGTCTGAAATTTCGCTACCATTATTTGATCTCACGACCCAAACAAATAAATACTGATGTTAAACATCAAATAGCAAAAGTTGAAATGAAAATTATACAGAAGTATGATTATTGGCGTAAAGTTCATGCAAGTGAGCAGGAAAATTAAACACAATAACATGTTTGGTAAACACAAATGTCCTCAGCCACAATTCTTGTCAGTTACAAATTAAAAAAAGGCTTAACAAATCACTCAGTTATGGACAGAAATATTGCCCCAAAAAGTGTAAACAGTTATATAACCTGACTTTGTCATTACGTTTTGTTAAAGTGAAAAATATAAGTTGGCATGTCATTGCTATTTGATGAATAAAAAAATATTAAATATATACAAATGCAAATGTAAGACCAGTGACCTTGAGCAAAGTGACCCAAACTTAAAACACCAACTGAGATGTGGTCAATACAGATATGAGACATAGGTAAAAAGAACAAAGGCTATATAAAAAAGCTGTAAAAAGATAAATCTGTCACGAGCACAGATGACCTTGACATTGTGACTCTTAACACTGGACCATCCAATGTATGGTCGTTCCAACTATGAAAAATATCAACAATAAATAAATGTTGCATACACAAATGCTTGAAATCTATTTTAGCACCCCTTGAACTTTAACTAATCCAAAGAAAGAAGACCTAGCAAGCTAACTTCCTACCAAATATAAAAGACATCATTCAATAAATAAAGACTGTATGGACAAAAGCGTAAAAATCCTTTTTAAGCAGTGCTGACATTGATCCGATTGATCCTTTACTCAATCCAAAGGAAGAACCATGAAAATGATCTACCTACCAAATATGAAAAACTAATGTTGATAAATAATGACTGTATGGGCAAAGGTGTAAAAATCAATTTAGCACTGTTTGACCTTGACCCAACTGACCCCTTACTCAATTCGAAGAAAGAAGACTACGCCAGTAATTGAATAAAGGCTGTATCAGCAAGTTTGAGTAAATGTTGACCCCGAACCAATGAAAATGAATAGTACATTTTATATAACCTGACAATATCCTGAACTTTGTACAGAAATTATGACAGATACGACGAACTAAATAGATAGAACTCCAGATACTTTTAAGTTAACTATATCCATATTTAGAGTGCTGAAAGGACAATAACTTAGTAAAAATGGAAGCCATAGTTATGTAAGATGCCCGATCATGTACTTTCTATTGATTAGTAAGTGTGTAAATTATGAAGCCATTGGTACAGGTAGAACTGAAGAAAAAGTTCAATTGTAGAATATAACAATTTATATCCAGTTTTTAACAGCAAAAGTGTGTTAAAATCAGATTACCAAACTACATCAATTATAAAATAAAAACCCGGAGCTTCATTTTTCTGATGCAAAATGCACTTTCGGAAATTTTTAATGCATTTTATAAAGCCGAAGCTGCACCTACATTTTATAAAATGCCTGAACTACTTTTTTTTCTAAAAGATAAGATATTACCGTTACATTGAGATCATACATTGAATAGTTACTATATAAGATGTTAATAAAAAACAAAACGTTTCTTGTATTTTTCTGATTGATCATGAAAAATACTTTTTTCCTTCTCCTGAAAAGTTTACTTTTTGTAACTCCGGCATTTTATAGTGAGACCATCGAAATATCCCTTTGGCAAATATGTTCCTTATACCAATGTATTGAAACTGCCTTTACATGTGTGTGTGTGTGTGTGTGTGTGTGTGCGTGTGTGTATGTGTGTGTGTGTGCGTGTGTGCGTGTATGCGTGTCTGTGTGTGTGTATGTATGTATGTATGTATATATGTATGTCGACTTAGCCAGCCGGCATATATTTGTAATACATTCGTATGACTCAAAAGTGTGGAGAAAAACTGAAGCAAGATATATCCAAGATATCCAATGGTCATGTGGCAACTGCCAAACAATAATTATCTAAACAATCAAATATAATAGTTATCAAACCGATAAAAGTAGCAACAATGCATTATTCTACTGACTTAAAAATTTATTGCATACAAAATAATTTAGAAAGTTAAACTAACTAACTTGAAACAGAATATTTGCAAGCTATATATTTATTACCAACTCAATACACCAATTATGTGGCAATTAACTGCATCGATGCATACATTTGTCACCTGATCATCGGCGATTCAGTTATGGGTGACATGTTAGTATGATTGTATTGTTAGTAAATAGTTAACATGAAATATATTGTTGATAACGCAAATAAAGATCATGGATTAACATATGGATTGTAATTAATCATACAATTTCAATAGTTTTTATTGGTAATTTCCAATAATGATATATGATACAGGCTCCCGGAGATTAATAATAAATCACAAAGACACTTACAACATAATAACTACTCTATATAATTATGTAATGCATGCATGTATATGTTTCTAAATTATGTTTAAATTAAATCAGTTGGCAGGGCAAGTATATACAGAACAGAACAAATATTTTATTTGACTTAAGCATTACAAGCCCATCGTCGTTAACAATGAAAAGAAAAGAACATATATATATATTGGTATGACATGGAAGATTTTACATATAATACATGAATTATTATTTCCTTAACACATATATCGTGAGAATGTAACAAAGGAAAAAATATATTTATATACACACAAAAGTTACATGGAAAAAAAATTAAACAAAAAAAAGGAATTATTTCAGATTGAGAACGACATTTATATTATTACAATAGTGAATCCCTTAATTTGAAAGCTTTAAAACAATATAGAGCCATTTTTTAAAAATCTTCTTATTACTACCTTGCATAAATGATATATACTTAATTATATTTGTGTGGGTATAATAATACCTGGATATATAGAGCTTTCTTAAATCGACATAAGCTGTACATTTTAAAACAAAGTGAAATTCGTCCTCTAGGTCGTTTAAATTACATAGTGTACATTTTCGTTCATCGCGCGGAATATTGTAGTGTCGGCCGACTTCAATGTTAAGTTTATGTGAAAAGAGACGTAATTTAGCCAGTGTGTTTCTAAATTTTGTATTTTCTATAATAGTCTGATATAATTTGACTGCTCAAACGTATCTTTTATCTCCCGGAAATTATTTAAAGAACTTGACATCTGCAACCCTGTTCTCCAATGACTTATGTATATATCTCTAAGCCCACAACGTAAGACTGGAACAAATACA